TGATCTGTAAACTAATCATTAGCAAAGGTTACACACTTTTTTTTAACATGATCTGTTATAATTTTCTAATGAGTAAAATTTTATTTATATAGGATAAACTAAACGTCAGCATTACACACATAGGTTACACACATTTATTTTTAATATATATTAGATTTATGTTCTATTGATTTATAAATATCTATATAGCTAATTATATTTTTTTTAATATTTTGTAGCTCCCTCTTTAGCTACGATACAAGCCATAATATGACATGATATACTCTTGATCAATTATTTGCAGTATACTGGTTCGATCTCATTTCAATATTTTAAAACACAATTTTTGAGCTCTATTAAATTATTAGGTTTGGTCTCACGAATCTGAACTTTAATATAATGCCAGAGGTTTTTAATCAGATTAAGATTTGGACTTTGAGAAGGCCAGTCCATAATCCAAATTTTTTTATTAGCAAAAAACTTTTTTATAATTTTTGCAATATATGGCCTTGCATTATAATGTTGAAACCAAAGGTGGCCACTATAATCCCAATTAGTTCCATTGAAATTTTGAAGGGCTGGCAGAAGATGATCCTGGAGAGTTATAATATATGACATCATTATAAGGGAAAAAAGGTAAGTCTAATTTTTTTTTTAAATCAAAAATTTTTTTTTTATTTAATAAACTAATTTTATCTTACCTTTAACTGAGATATAAAGAGAAACAAGGGGCCAACACTAAACTATAAAAAACATCCCCAATACATATGACTTGAACTATGGTTAATAGTGGCAGAAAGATATTCTTTATATAGATTATGCCAAATATGATATTTACTCTCTTGCTAAAATTGAGTAAATATAGACTCATCACTTCAGATTACTTTTTTAAAGTCCTAAATGATTCAGTTTTTATATGCAAGGCATCAAGTAAATCGGTCTTCAATATTTTTTTCTGAAAGAAAGAGCTTGGGATAGGTAATACAGCTTCTTAACTGTTCTTCATGCAGAATTCGATAGATGGTTTTTTCAGATACCTTGATTTCTGTTTTTGCTATAAAAAGATTGGTTATTTTGCAGCAGTAATATGTCTGCTATCCTTTTTGTCAGTAACAAGTTTTTTAAGAATGGTACAAGCATGCTTATTGAGAAGTTGTGATTATTTCGATCATCTCAATTATTGTATTTCCAATTCTATGGATCCAGTTTCAATAAAATGTTTTATAATGTTATTCACTACACTTTTTTGCATTCAACATTGGCTGCAATATTATAATAGGTATTTTTTTTTTATAATCATAAATTATGACTGCTTTTTGTTCAGAAATTGATTATTTATTTGTAGGCAATGTGAAAATTGAAGTGAAATTTTTAAGTAAATAAAAAAAATTTTTTTTTATATAATAATACATTTTTATAAATTAATATGTTGCACTTATATATTTAATATATTTTTATTAAAAAATTTTAATTAGTTTTTAAATTAAATTTTATTTAAAAAAAAAGCTGTTCATAAACTTTTGTTTATCCTCTATAATTAAATAAAAGTTATTGATCAGTAAAACTAAAACAACTGAGGACACATGAATACTGACCAATAAAAATCAATATATTCACGAGAGGATTGTTTAAATTTCGGACTGATCAATATTATAACATGTTTTTAGATGTTATAAGCCATATTTTAATTTTGAGTTATTTTATTTATTATTAGTATTTAATGATATAATTTGTTTAATAATATAATTAAAAAAATGCCGAAAATACTAAAAAACCTTTCAAAAAATATATTGGAAAAAACTCCAAACCAGAAACCCGAAAAAAATCTCCGATACTCAAAAAAAACTAGAAAATCTTTCTCAAAAAAATTTAAAAAATCTTTGAAGAAAATATTTAAAAAAAAAAGTATTTTAAAAACTCAAAAAAAAAATCACCAAAACCTGAAAAAAAAAACTGAAAAAAAACCTGAAATCCAGATTTTATAGTAATAGATTACTTTTAGATTGCATAAAAAAATTTTTTATATAATAGAACAATAATAAAACAATGGGTATCACATTTAATCGAGCAGTTATTACACTAGTGCAATGTGACACTGGAGTGTCCAATGTCCAATGTACTATGTAGATCAAATATATGTATAGTCTCATATAAAAATTACTATTAGATTTTTTTTTTGAATAAATCGATTTTAAATAATAATTTACAAATAGTAATATATATAAAATTTTCAACTTAATGTTTATTTTGTAAAACATTTTATTATAACATTACGATTATAACAGACTTTAAATTCTATATAAATTTAAAAATATTTTAGTTGCTTCTTCTTCTCCATATGTTTTTATATCATCTTGAACTAATCCCACCAATTGCTTTTTACGGTTTGTATGAACTTTTGAAAGTCCTAAAGCAATATTTTCTTTATCAATATCTCCAGATGAAAGTCATAATTTCAATTGCTTTAAGTCTTGTGTCATATTTGGATAGGTCTTTAATTCTAGTTTATTAAAGAGCCCTTCAACCTGCTGTTGGTGGATTACAATAAAGTAAATTCGTTCTTTAACAAATTTATATAATAATTAATATTTATAAATTTTAGAGGTTGGGGTAAAACAAAAGTTTTGAAACTCGTTTTTAAACTCTAAAGAATCTAATAATTCTTCTCAAAGGCCAAAAGTATTATTAGTTATCTCAAAATTGATGCATAATTGATATGTTAAATTTATTTCACACTTTGTTGATTCTACAATCCACTATTAAAAAACAATATAATAGAATGCTCAGGCAAATCATGGCCTGAATTTCCACCTAAACTACAGATTGATAATGGTAAATGGATCCACGGGGACATCCATTTTAAAAAACTTTCATATGCTTTGTTCATTCCCTGTTTCAAATTATCTAAGAATTCACTAAAGTCTTCATTATTTTATGATTCAAGTGCTGTTAGTAATTCTTGTCCAAAGAATGTATCAAAATTTTTTCTAAGTTTATCTAAAAACTTTAACCACTCATTCACTTTATCTGGTATTTCGTGAGCACGTTGGCCAGATGGAAGTTGAGCCTGATGATTTTTTTCTTGAATACGAGGTATGGATCCCTTCCAATCATAAATTGTATCAAAGGCTTATATAAGTACTTACCGAATATAACTAAACACTGAATTTGAATATTTGGTTTTTTGTTTAAGAGCCAATTCCGAAATAAACACCTAGTTAATGAGTATAAAAAAACTTATTAATAAATATATTTAAAATAAGCATACAAAAGTTTATAAATAGTAATTAAAAATTTACCAATCTGAAGGATAAGCAGGTGGTATATTCCGATTATTTTCAAGTTCCTTAATGAACCTATTGACAAATTCTATGTGTGCTTTACAATGTGCTAAATATTGTTTTGCAGCAAGTAATTCATATCCCCAACGACTCCGAATTGGCAATTGATATTGGGAGAAATGATATCCTAATAATCCATCATATAGTTTTTGAATTCAATCTGACTTCATATTGAGGGGTTTTCCTTTATTGCTTGAATTATATCCGTCATAAAGGTACCAAGCCAAATATAGGAGATTATATGGTTATGTGTTCGTGAAAATCCAATCGAAGAAGATAACTTGCCAAACATCTCTTCGAAATTTGAAAAACAATATACATTATATGCATTCCACAACCGATTCTTACTGTATCTACATTTGCCTTCTTATTAAACTGAATGATTGCACCTTTTTTATTGCTTGACATATAGGCTGTGTTATCTGTTACCCATGTTGAACATTTTTTTGGATCAAGCCCATGAATTGTAATTGCTTTGAGAGTGCTGTCTGCTACCGATTGACCAGTACAGTTATGTAAATTCTCAAGATTGGTTACGATTACTGATGGAATGTTTTTTTTATAATCCCAGAACATTATATATATAACGAAATATTTACTTTCTACGCGAGTTGATTCATCCACAAGGATTCCATATCGTGAATATTGTGAAGCCTTATATATTCCAGCTTCAGTCTCAATTTGTGAGACTTCTTTATGTCAGGTACTTAGAGTCATTGCAGATAATCATCTTTGTGGGGGTTCTCCGGTTAAAAATTTGTAGACTAGTTGCAATTATTCAACAGTCACGTTTAAAGAAGTTTGACCAATTTGTGATATCTTTGTTGAAAGCCAAACCATTTTTGGTGAATATTCTCGATTATTTGTTTTAAATAATATGCTAATTTGGCATTTGAATTCTTTATTAGGTATCTGCTTTTGTTTGCATATTAATAACCTGATAGTTGAAATTCGCTTTTCTACTTTATTTCTGAAATGCCGATTTGAACTACTTACAGACTGAATTTTATATAATAGATTTTGATTCTTCCTTAATAATTTTCAGTATTCTGATTTTAGGTTCGCATTCTCAGCTTTTAAAACAACTGGATTTTTACAACTATCCGTAATATATTCAAGGGCTTTATTTTGGAGATAGATCGAAATAATTTTATTTTTATGCTTTCCTTTTGGATTTCACATTGATTCAATTAGATTTAATGCATTTTTCTTTTGTAGTTCTGGCATTTTACGAATATTATTAAAGATTTCCTCTTCTCGTGAATGATTAAGTGAATTAGTAATAATTTTGTGGATATTTGGACGAGATTCAAGATCAATTTGAGGTATCAGATTATAAATTTGTCGGATTTCATTACTTTAAGATATTTTGTACTTCATATGACATTTTTGTTTTGATAATTTTGGCATGTTTAGATAAAGAAAAGTAATTAAATAAAGGAAAGCAGTTGAATAAAGAAAAGCGATTGGATAAAGAAAAGTGATTGGATAAAGAAAAAGTGATTAAGCGATCGAAGCGATTTATTGATTATACAATTTCATGATTTTTTGAAAAAATTTGTTGCTTTATATATTTAAAAATCATATAATTACCAACTATAAGTAATTAATTTATCGAAACAAAAATAAACTCGATATTATAATTTTGTAATTAGAGAATTACGAAATACTACAATCGAAGCAAAAACTGATACGGGACAATAGATGAATTACCCAATAAAGATTAGAAACAATAACTGAGGTAATTAGTTGTTTGTTAAAGTTTTTAAGTATCAATTGATATTATTACGTTTTAGGTAATTGGTTGTTTGTTCGAGCTTTTAGACATCAAATAAATTAGATTATACAGTTTAGATAATTAGTTTGTTCGAGGTTTAATTATTATCCTTGTATTTAATTATGTAATTATGATAAAAAGTGTATTAACAAATCGTAGCTAGAGCCTAGGGCTATCCCAATCCGGCGCTTGCTTAAAAGAGGATTATATCTCGAATATGTACTTGGTATAGTCTGAAGCCGCAGGTGGTGACAAGTAGTACAAGTACCTTCTATGAGGAACTAGGCGAAAAGTATTCGGGTTATCCGGGTGTTCTAATCAACCTTGCAAGGTACAAGATCTTCGACAGCGAGCAGCCACAAGGTTGCCGAATCAGGACTAATAGGTAGGCGGGTTTAAAACTGATGGCAGGATTTCCCACCCCTGAATAGTCCCACCTAGCATGTGAGCCCCACTTCCATAGTGGCAAGTTGATATAGCTGGGTTAAAACAGGTGGGAGGAACGGGTTAACTTAAATGGACTTTTGATGTAATGTAATTGGATATAAATCACTCAATAAAAACTAGTACATCTAGTACCTTTCACCTTAAAAAAAAAAAAACAAACAAATCGTAGCTAGAGTTTGGAACCAATTTCGATCTTCAAATTTAAATCCGATTTCCTTTGGATCGGATTTATTCTACACCAATAGAACTCCATAATGATAAAATAGTTTTCGTTCTTAAGTGATCGGAAGTTTTTGTCTCCAAGTATATATATGTATGTATATATATACATACAATGATACTAGGCACAACCTAGGCATAACCGAATATTATCAAGTAAATTCGGAATAAAATCTGATGCATATTTTTATTAATTAAATTTAATATAAATCGAAAAGCGAAATCTGGTTCCAAACTCTAATCGTAGTATTGACAATAAAATAATATGAAATTATTTTATTGTATTAACACAGTATTTCTATATACAGTACTAACATAGATTTCCCCTTGAGCAAATAACTGCATTCATTTATCTTGTTAAATGCCATCTAGACGCACTCGTGTATCCAATGCTAATTCAAAAGCATTCAATTCTTATTTCTCTCCCAAAAAAAAATCCGTCTCTAAGAAAAATATAAAAATATAATCGAATTCATATATTATTATTATTTAAAAATACTTGAATTATGAAAATATTTTTCTCTAATTAAAATTTATTCCCTGATACTTTTAGCCCATTGATTAAGGTGCTTTAAGTTCAATTTGTAAAAATATTCTGCTTTCTACCATATCGCATTCATTGCAAGCACATGCATTATACAAATTCGTATAACCAATATTAAAAACCATTGGAAATTAATAATTTTTTAATAAAATATTTTTTTAGGAAAAATCGAGCTTTTTATTAAAATATAAAGTCTATTAAGTAATTAAGATAAAATTTCCAGAAAATTTATTATGTAAAATTTTGAGGAGATACGATTTGAAATTTGATATTTTCTTATAAAAACACTATTAAAAGTTCTTGAATTTCAAATCGTATCTCCTCAAAATTTTGCATAATAACTTTCTTTTAAATTTTATCCAATTACTCACCAGACTTTATATTTTAATAAAAAACTTGATTTTTTTTAAATTTTAAAAAAATATAATTAATTCGTCAAAAATCATAGCATTTACTATAGATTATCGTATTCATTACACGAAAAAATTCACTAGTAAAATTTACTATGAGACTATAAATCTATTTGATCTACATAGTATATTGGACACCCCAATGTGACACCTATAGTATATTGTGAAAACGTTTAAATAAGCTTTATTGACTTTCTTTATCTATGAATCAGCCCAAATACATATAGTTAAAAGAAACTTTGTACAGTAAATGTATAAATTTTTGGTGACACACACACTATAATTCCGTATGTAATATAATCTTATTTTTTGAAGATCATGCATCAGGTAAACGTTTAAAAAAAGCCATATTGACATTCTTGATTTTGTTATTCAGCCAAAAATGCACACATAACTGAAAGAGGAAACTTCGTAAATGTATAAACTTTTTAGTAACACATACACATTATCTCGGACGTAATAGAATCCTATATTTTGTAATATCCTTTTTGTATAAAAAGAAAAAACTACAGTATATAATTACAGAAGAATACGTAAAGATTAGTTATTGAGGTCAACCTTTTTCTCAAAATAATAAAAATGAATAAATATGTGTTAAACAAACATTACAAAAAAGGTAAGAGTCATTTAGCAAATGCTAGAAAACAAGAATCCGATGTTCATTTAAAGGAAGCGATAGATACCTACCAAAATGCAATTGAAGAATTCAAAGCTCATGGATTCTCCGTATTTCATGACGCAAAAAGGTACTTAGTCGAAGCTTACTTCGAATGTGGTGAAGTCTATAAAGGTATAGGAGAAATGAATAATATGGATGCTTGCTATAAAGAAGCTCAAAAATGTGACCCAAAGTATTGCGAAGTATTGATCAAATCCTCAATCTTAACAAAACCCTTGCAAGCAGAAAACACATCTATAAAAAACTCTTTTACTAGTTCAAGTATATTATCGACCTCCTTGATAGAGACAACGTCACCAACCATTTTACCAAAATTGGAATTTTTTACGCAAGATCCTCTAGTAATATCCGAGTCACATTCGAAGATAAATGACATAAATGATATTAGAAGCACTCAGGATCTGGCCTATTATCTGCAATCTAACAATCATATCAAGGAACTGGCGCCACAATTAATAAGATTAGCTCAAAATATTGTTCAATTGTTTGAACATAAAAAATCAAAAACCAAAAACATAATCAATGAAGTTATCATATTAGCTTCCATCCCGAATGAAGAAATTTATAAAGATTTACTAGAGATAAGCATTAACGAAATCAAAAATTCTACATTACAACATTCCAAACATTTGATTTGCTTAACTCGAATAATTCAAAACATGCCCAACTCTCTCCTGATTACTGAAAAGGTTAGCACAGGGAATTTAGTGGCGATATTAAAGATCTTACATTCCCATATAGAAGATCTATATAAACAAGACAATGAGACCGAGTTCAGCGAATTATTACAAACACTCTGTCCATTATTAGATGCCATGGTACGGATAGGCGTTAGAGGTATCAATTGTGAGAAGCTGCAAACGCGATTATATCAACAGCTCAAAGAGTTAAAAAAGCTAAAATATAATCAAATATTGATTTACCATACTCACTATACCTGCCAGGTATTGCTTTACATTTCAAGTGATGAAAAATTATGGCAAGAAGTTATGCGTCAAACTTTTAAAATTGTTAGTGGAACTATTAGTTTAGTTAATGTGATTAAAAGTTTAGACCCAAGTAGATTACTGGATACTTTTAAAGATTTCAGTGAAGCATTTAAAGGCTTTGATGAGATTGTAAGTCGTGTTCAAAGATTAATAGAAGGAGTAGAAGATATTCGTCAAGGAGGAGAGTTTGAACAGATAAGGCAATGGTATTTGGCTCTACAATTTATAAATATTTTTATTTAAGAAAATCAGTTGAAAAAACTTGAGCAGTTTGTTCATCAAAGTCTTCATAATAAGAACAAATGGTTTTTAATAGGCCTGTGCCAACGCTTAGGACAGATTGCATGTACATAACGTGATTTAAAGATACAACAATGTGCGGTTGAATTTTTATATGATCTTTATCAAAACGAAATCCAATGGGGACGACATCCAGAAGTGAAATATTACGCCAAAGAGATGATTAATAAAGTAAAGTCTGGTAAAAATGCACTCAATTCTTTCATATACA